TGGGCCTGTGGAGCGCACTTCAAACCACAGCATTAATGCACTTTCAATTTACCACTAGTTTATAGGAAAAACAACCCCTCCATAAGTTTGAGTACATGTACTAGGAAAGCAAGGAGATTAAAAATCAATCATGTCAGTATCCATCTTAAGAAGCAAGGGAAGGAATTTTAGCAGCAGTCCCTCAGACAAAGGACTTATATCTAGAACATATAAAGAACTGAAAAACATCAGACTACCCAAATTCAAAGACCCAATCCAAAAATGTGCAAGTGAGATGAATATGTACTTCTCAGATGAAGAACTACAAAATAGTCAACAAATACATGAAGACATGCTCAACATCACTGGTCATTTGAGAAATGCAAACTAAAACAACACTGAGGTTCCACCTCAGTCCAGAAAGAATGGCTGCCATCAAGAAATCAACTGACAACGAATGTCGGCAGAGCTGTGAGGAAAAAGGAACACTTCTTCACTGTTGGTAGGAACACAGACTGGAGCAGCAACTGTGGAAAACAGTGTGGAGATTCCTCAAAATCCCAGGATTGGAGGTCCCATTCAATCCAGCTATTCCCCTTCTGGGTTATTTTCACAGAAAAATTGAAAACGCTATAGCGATATATGTGCATCTATATTTATAGACGCACAATCTGTAATAGCTAAATCTTGGAAGTAACCCAAATGCCCATCAACCGTGAAATGGATAAAAAAGATGTGATATTTTTATGCAGTGGAATGTTACTCAGCTATGAAGGATAATCTTGAGGCTTTTACAGGTAAATGGAGGCAACCTGAGACCATACTCTTAAGTGAAATAAATCAAGATCACATTTGTAAATATCATAGTCTTCCTTTCTAAAAAAAAACCTGAAAGAGTAATAAAATCCAAAATAGATATTGTGATAATGAAAGGGAAAGTGCTCAAAAGGAGAGAAGGAAGAAGGAAAAAGATTTTATATATATATATATGTTATGTATGTATATATATGCAAGACAGATAGTTATACTACCAATCTCTGTTAGTTCATCCAAAAGAACAAGTTGTGCTTTCATTATTTGATCGTTTTTGTGCCTAAATCTTGTAACCTGAACAACTACTTCTAAAATAACAATATTCAATATATTAATTAGTGCTAATGTCCTACTACTTTTTTTGAAATTCTATATCCTTTTTTCTGTTTTGCTTTTTTAAAACATATTTAAAAAAAAAAAAAAGCAGAGGAAAAGAACAGCATATGAAACCCAAAGGAAGAAAGCACAGGGAAAATAAAGATAAGCAAAGCAACTGGTAAAATAGGAAACAAACTATATATGGTTGATACACTGTGTCAACCTGAGAAGGTCAGAAGTTTAACTAAGGGATCCAGCAGGGAAGCAGGATCCTTGCTCTCTAAATACTGTCAGCCTGTGCAAGAGGAGGGAATGGGAAGGAGGTGAGTGCTACACCCACCATATAGGGGTCTACCCTGCTTACAATGGAAGGCTGAAACAGAGACTTACTCTTTCCCTCCTTTGCTCTTGCTGCTTCTACTGGCTGCTGCCCTGAAGTGTTGCCCTGGTGCCAACACCACTCTGCCTCGAGAGCCAGGTGATTATGGACTGAAACCTCCACAAACTGTGAGCTAAATAAACCTTTCCTTTCTTAATTTTGGGTGCTGAGGAACCAAGAAACAAACATACAATAGAGAATATGACAAGCCAAAAGATGATTTCAAAATGAGCTAAAATCTAGCCAAAAAGGCATAAATCAACAATACTAGAAACCAGGATAACATTTTAAATGTAATGTGTAAAGTGCAGGTATCCTCTAAACATCAAAAATACAGAAAATTTAAAAACAAATTCATAGTAAAGCAAGACTATAAAAACTGACACAGAAAAATCTGAATGGATTTGTATCTACTAAAGGAACTGCAACTATAGCTAAAGACAACCTCACATTCACAGGCCCAGACGGTTTTGCCCATGAATTCTACGAACATTTAAAAAATTGGTAACACTACTCCTACACAAATTCTTACAGAGAAGAGATGAACCTCAACTCATTTTATGAAGCCGTACAAAATAACCTTGATACCAAAACCTAAAAACATAGAAAACAAAATTCTGGGCATGAATGTAGATACAAACATTTAAGAAAACAGTAAACCAATTCTAGAAGTATATTAAAGGATAATATATAATAGACAAAACTTAGATTTCCAAGAGCAAAAGTTTGACTTTTTTTGTTTTTTTTTTTTGGTGTTTTGCTTTGTTTGTTTTGCATTTGAGATAGTTTCTTACTACATAGCTTAAACTGGCCTTGAACTCAGGACAATCCTCCTCCTTCAGCTACCTCAATTGCCTCAGCCGCCCAAGTGCTGGAATTACGGGTGTGTCACATAATCTGTCACACTATATTAAAGCAGAAAAATCATGTAATTATCTCAATAAATACAGCAAATATCTTTTTTTTTTTTTTTGTCTTTTTCCTTTTTATGGTACTGGGGATCGAACTCAGGACTGCCTGCTTGCAAGGCAGGTGCTTATGCCGCTGAGCTAAATCCCCAGCCCCCCTGCAAATATCTTAATAAAATTCAGCACTCTTTCATAATGTTTTAAATCCCTTAAAATACTAGAAATAGAATAGAAACTCATGTGATAAAAGTTATTACAGTTTACAATAACCATAATTGATGGTAAAATACTGAATGTTTTTATTCCTCTAAAATCAGGAAGAAACAAAACTGCTCACCATCAACTTTGCACTGCTGTTGCTACATACTAAAACAAATGGAAAAAGTGTACACCCTGGAAAGGAAGAAATAAAGGTTGTTGGGCCAGGGATTTAGCTCAGTGGCGTAAGCTCCTGCCTTGTAAGGCGTATGGTCATGAGTTTGATCCCCAGTACCAATACATAAACAAATAAAGGTTGTTGATACATAAATCAGTTGTATTTCTAGAATGAGCAATTTCTTTTTACAATACTATCACAAAATCAAAAATATCAAATTTTTTACAATAAATCTACAAAATATATGGAACTCCTATATACCAAATACTGCAAAATAGTACTGACAAAACATAAAGAATATCTGAATAAACAGACAAATATACCATATCCACAAACAGGAAAACTCAATATGATAGACACTAATCGACTGTTTCTAAATTGACATACAAATGCAATGCAATTCCAATCAAAATCCTAGACAATCTAGTAAGTTACATCTAAACTTTATGTGAAAATACAAAGATCTGAGAATAGCCAGGTCAGTGCTGCACAATAACACTAAATGACAGAAGCTATCACATACCAACACTTACTACAAAACTAGAGATGATATTGAATGAAAGACAAAGAACAAGCCAATGTGGTAGAAAAATGACCCTGAGTCTATTAGTCATCCATATGAAAAAAAATTATCTTGTCCTTTTTTTCACATGATATATAAAAGAGATATTTAATGAAATGATATGGTTCCTTAGAAGTAAAGCAAGCACAAAGTATTAAGATAAACGTTTCTTCACCAGACACAGAAAGTGCTTTACATATAGGGAAAATGTGGCAGATACACAGTTAGGAAATTCTTGATACAGAAAAACTATGCGCTTTATTTGGGAATCACTGAACATACATAGTCTGATCATTCACATAATCCTACTTACTTAACATTGGCGAAGCCATTTTTGGTTTTTCCAATGAGTTAAACCAAGATTTATGAAATTAAATCAATAACTCATAATGAGAGACTCAAAGAATAGTGATTTCTAATAATAACTACTGAAAATTACAGGGTCATATATGACTTGAATTTAATATTAATTTAATTAAATAAATGTTTACATTTATTTTATTTTAAATGCAGTTTTACTTCTAATGATAATTCTACTAATAACAATTGAGTTATCACAGGTGATTAAAATAGTGGCCAGATCTAAAGTATCCTGTTCAATAAAGAAAAACAAAAGCAATTTAAATAAAAGTAAAGGCCCAGAGTTGGAAAAAAATTAAATAAAGTCATATGTAATAATAAAAGTATCTGATTGTTCTTCTACCAGTTAAATAAATGGCACCTAATTAAGTTTATTCATTCATTGTGACTACAGTAGAATTTACCTTTTTCCAAGTGGAAAAAAAGCAGCTACGCATCATTTTATTTACTCAAAAAGATTCCTCAGGTTTAAAAACAAAGGAGAGGAATAAAACAAAGACAGCATTAACTTTCCAGAGGGCACAAGTTTTAAAAAAGGTTTGAAGAATTACATAACCATATGTTTTAACATTTCAATTTACAAATTTCCTGTCTGCAACCAAAAAATGTATACACATAAAAACTCCTTTCCAATAAAAGATTAAGACTTTATATATTCTTATAATTATAGCACTGTAATTTTATATATTCTGTCAAAGGAATAATACAGCTTTATGGACAGAAAGGAGTTAAATGAGTATTTTTAGTTACATATTCTTTCACAGGCCATACTCTTCAACTTTTACAGAGTTAAGAAAACTATATAAAGTGTACTATGGCTGGACAGGGTCTTAGTGACACCAGTGGGTTCATTAGGATTAAGGGCTTGGCCTAGGGCAGTGCTACTATAATTTGTAGAATGTTGCACAGGTGGGCATTAGGAGAGCGTTAGGTCACTGGAATGTGCACTTGACAGGAACTATGAGAGCCCTGCCTGTCTCCTCTCTGCTCCAGCTCCAGATATGACCATTTTGTTTCTACATGTGCCCTTCCCCTACCAGGCCATCATCTTTTTTTTGCACTGGAATTGAGCTAATACTTTTCAACCTCCAAAGTTGTGAGTTAAATCAGTTTTTCAAGTTTCTAAGTTAGTAGTTGTCTCTGGTGTTTTGTTGTAGCAATGTGGAGCTGACTAACACAAAGGGTTAATACAGTTCCTCATTTTCTGCCCATGTCAAACATTAACACAAACACACTTATCATTTTCTAGGAAATATAGGGTCCTTCTACAGGAAGGACTATATTTTCAACCATTAATCATTTTACCTTTGCGGCTAGCTGTAGTCCAATTTTATCAGCTTCAGTTTCCAAAGTTCTACTATATGGTCTATCAAACATATACTAAAAAGAAATAGAATAGAAATACTCTATTAAGGACATTTATTTTATGACAAAAGGAATAACAAAGTGAGACATCTTTAGAATTAATTTCATGGAGTAGGTAATATAAAATTTATAATATAATTAACTCCATATAATTAACACTAAAAGAATACCATAGTATTATATACATATATATACTATTTTCTTCATCAAATTAATACTTTAAACACAGGGAAAGAATAAAAAAAGTTATGCCTATGAATTTCTTGAAAATCTCTTGTAAGTTAGTCTAATTGTACTATTACAATCTCCAATCACTACATATAGGGCTCTCTGAGAAGCTTTATTAATGAGAGCTTAATGCCCAAGGAACATTTTGATTTTGTAGTTTTAAATAAAAATTGAAAAAATATAGGTATATATTAGCTAATGACACTACTAGAGAATTACAAGTTACTTCAGTAAGAAAATTAACTATATAACAGAATGTTCTTTCTTTGATAAATTAGCTTAATTTCCTTTTCCAAGTATTGATTAGGAAAATAAAATTTTCTTCTGACTTCAAATAAAAAATATATAGATATCATAACTTTAATTTTTCTAATTATTATTATTATTTATAAGAAAGCACCCCAATTAAATTGAAATTATCAGTAAGTACTAAAAATTCACAAGATCAATAGGCAGGACTTTTGAGAAAAGACTATTAATTGAGAGCGATTTTTCAAAGGCAGCTTATATGATTATGATGACCAGCAGTAATCAGTCTGGTCCACAGTACATGACCATTAAGTACAACCTCCTTCCTTCTCAATCATGTCTATTGTAGGTTGAAAAACTAAATCACACAGGGTCTTACTTTCAATGAGTAGTATGTATAAACCCTATCCAGTTTACCAATCATATACTGACTAAGAACACTGACTTTCAGAGGACAGCCAATAATATCATATGGAAAAGGGAGCAAATAACAGTGTCAAACTCCCAGATTTGCAAGGAGGATTCAATGTACCAACAATAAAATTAGATACTGTGCTAAGTCCTTAAGGCAGTGGTTCTTACCTTGGTATGATTGTGTCTTCTAGGGACATTTCTAAGTGTTTGGAGATATTTTTGACTATAAGAGCTGAGACTGGGGAGACAGTGGCATCTAGTGGGTAGAGGCCAGATATGCCACTAAGCATCCTACAATGAGTGGAACAACTTTCCACCACAATTACCCAGTTGGAGGTTCCAGGGTTTTTCAGAAGAAGAAGAAACTCTGCCTTCAGGGCTCTGTAATCACGACTCTACTGAGTGAGAAAGGAGAACAGGCAACTCTGGTGCCATTCCTTTGTGCCTCCTCATCATTCATCATAAGGAACAAAAAAACACCTGTCACCAAAATTAGGGCATCAAAACCCAAGAAGAGCCTTGATGTAGGTAAAAAGAATTCATACAGAAATCATCCCTACTCCAATTTCAATTTAATTGTTATATTGAAGAATTGTATTGACAAGGCAGTATTCATCAAGTTATTTAAGAGACAACAGCTACACTATCTCTTGTTATAAACAAATGTGATTCCTTTAAGAAAAAGCAACCTATACATAAAAAGGGGAACCTTCATGAACTCTTCTGACACCCCAGCTGTCCAGTGACAGAAATAATGTTAGGCCATGAGGGCCTACCAACTAAAGCAGTAACCAGTCTTTCTGTATTTGAGAACTTTTATATTCATATAAATGAAATCAAAGGATATAACAATGCTAAATAAGAGCTCTCCAACTCAAAAGCAATTTGTTCCAAAGAATTTTACACATTAGATCTGAAGTGCACCCAGATGGCACTCTGATGAGTGCTCTATCATTAAACAAACAACAGACTGCTCCTAAATAAATAAACATCCCAGGACAGGAGGGAATATGTGGAGATGTAAAATAAAATAATTAATCATGGTTAACAAAGCAGTTATAAAGATCTCGAGAAGTACTCTTGGTGATGCAGTGTTTTGAATGAGGAACATTTTATAAATATAATCACTTGGATGATTATAGTTATACAAATACACTGAGAACAAAAGTTAACAAATCCCTAGGTGAAACTGTCCTTTCATCATTTTCTAAGCAACGTTAGTTTAACTGGGAGTCAGCAGAAGAGGAAGATGGAAAAGCACTTTCAGACAGTCCCAGGAGGGTACAGTTGGAATTCAAAAGCCTCTTTACTAAGTTCCTCCTCAAAATGAAAGTGTCCACGATGGAAGAGTCATTTCACAATGGTCACACAGGGAAGAGAAAGGTTAGTAAGACTGAGTTTTCCCCCTGGCCAGCAACCATGGAAAAAGTAAGCCTGACATCATGCTGCACACCTACAATTCCAGCCAAGTGGGGACTTGAGAGAAAAGACCACAAGCTAAAGAGCATCCCAGGTAACTCAGCAAGACCCTGTCTCAAAACAAAATTTAAAAGAGGTCTGGGGATATAGCTCAGAATTCTCTGGCTTCATTTTGCAATACAACAAAACAAAACGAAACAAAACAAATTACAGCAGGTGAAATATACCACATTCTTCTAATCCATTACTATGTATTACATGAGAGATATAACATTCCTTAACTTAGATACTCATATGTAAGAATATCTTCTAAAGATGAGAAATTATGACACTAAAATTCAGTTCATCTATGTCATGATTAAAAAGTGAAAACATTCATGGTATTTGTTGCTTTATATTAACAGCATAAAACCCTCAAAACAGACCATTATAAATTTAAATTATTACCTCAGACTCACCTCTTGCAATTTAGATTGTATCCACTGGCCCAAAATTGCCAAGCTATCTCGTGGACAAATGGCCCAAATCATTGTGAGAAAAATCATACCTAGGAAATCCAATAAATGAACCAAGCTAGCCTTTTCTGCCTGAGAATTATCAAAATAACAAAAATTACAGTTAATTTTAATAAACTGAGACAGTATATACGTATATTCTCTAGTTATCATACACAATCACATTGAATAATTACATGTGTTTAACCGTCCTTCAATTTCAATCCATAGCTTTTTCCTTCAATGTACTTATCTGTTCTCAGTCTGTTCTTTCTTTTCCTTATTTATATACTTATATAGTCATTCACACATGAAACTAACATATACCAGGTTATATCAGTCTGAAAAAATGACAAGTTCATCCACTTGCAGTTTCTTCTATTAACAAGCACAATCGGTGAAATAAGTACAATTATTCTGTAGATAAGCAAACTGAGATGGACAGAGGTTAAAAGGATAGTTCACATTCATATAGCTGTTAACTAAAAAGCAAACCCAGACAATTCTAGTTTCTGATATAGTCACTATATCTTTTTAAACATCAAATAAAAATGTTTATGGTATTTATAGTTTTGATAAAAACTAAACACTACCTTTAAACAAAGAACAATTCAGGAAAAAAAGTTTATTTTAAATATCTTTTGATCTTATGACTGAATATATGAAAGCACGATTTATTTACAATCTGGAATTTTACGTCAATATTTCTCATCAGAGAATTGTGTTCTTAGAAGTTTTTGTATTTACCTATGGTAGTAAGCAAAACAGGTTTTACGTAAAATACCTATTTTTCATTGATTTACTTTTTGGTTTTTAGACAAGATTTCACTGTACAATACAGGCTGGCCTCAAATTTGTGCCCTTTCTGCATTAACCTTCCAAATGTTGGCATTATAGGTATCTCCACCATGTCTAGCTCTAATATGACTTTTTAAACTGTAATGTCTAATTTAACTTTAATGCACTGGATTGTTAATTGTTCACTGTTGAAGCCAATTAATAAATGCTAATCTAACACTGATGCTGATAATACATAAGTCACTATCTGAATATATGAAACACAGCTGAAACCTAAGCCAATGATTTAGACTATGCCCTTTAACCATATAATATGTCCTCATAAAAATACACTTTGCTTCATTATAAGAACTGTATGTTGTGAAAAACAATTATGGAATTATTTTAACACAAAAAGTAACACTCAAAATGATGAAATTATAGAACGAAACATCTTTGCTATCATTAAAGACTATAGTTGTTACTATGCAGTCTTTGAAAACTAGAAATTAAAATAAATTTTCATGTAGAATGGAAATATAAAACATTAGACTGACTCCAAATTGGGATTCCCAAAATAGCAAATACTGTATTATAATAAACACCTCTGGCAAAGAAATATTAATAACTTTTCTATTAAGGCTATTTGCATTTTATATCTCATCTAATTATTATTCTTGCACTGACAGAGATGACAACAGTACAGTGAAAATAAGGAATTGAGCTACATGCAGAAAACAAATGTGCTAAACAGTCACAACCTTTAAATGCGCAAGAAAAAAAACTGATTTGTTTTTGCAGGTATGACATCATTACTTGAAAGATACAAGTCCATATAATGACACTATCAATTGCTTAGATTTGCTCTTGTAAATATTTAACAAAAATATTTTTAATATTAATATTAATATTTTTTAATATTAATAATTCTTATAACTAAGAAGAAAGAGAATTACTATCTGTACTTCAGGAAAATATAACTTTCTGTAATACACCTCATTACTTTAAGATTAGGCAGAATAAGAGATGACTTTTAGAAGGATTATAAACATTGTCACTGCCATTTGATGTGAATATTACTTACATTTCAAATTTGGCATTTCAAAATTCTGCTTACCTTCATGATTCTAATTAAAGAAATTTTTCTCTAATGTGGACAAGTCATTCATATTTTTTAATGAATAAAAATTTTTAAATGAGTTAAAAAAAAAGTTTTCCTGAATTTATGTCAACTTACACTGGTGTATAATCACAGAAGCATAAATCACTCCAAATTCCATAGAATGCCAGAGCAACCAGATAACTGTGTGAAAGGCAGATGCCAGACTTGCATGCAAAACACTTGGTGTAAATTTTCAAGTCAAGCATGTTTTCAGGTTAGGTATGTTATTTAGACTTGCAAGTATTAGTTTCCTCTCATATAAAACAATGATAATAAATACATACTTCACGAAGCATTACAGTTATGAATGAGAAGACACATACTAAAAGACTCAGGAAACTGTAAGATGACAAGGTATCACTATTACTCTGCATTAATTATCTATGGCATATCATTCTAGCCATTTTCAGAGATGCTCTACTATCCTCTGAGAATGAACAAAAAGGAAGAAAACTGATTTACTCAAATAGTAACATCACTTTCTTATTAATTTTGCTGACTAGTTTACAAATATGTTAATAATTATGGAAGTTAATTTGAAATAATTAGAGATTGAGAATAACTGCTTTTTAGCAGAAAAGACAGGTGCTAAAATAGTATTTAAAAGAAACTAATTATTGAGTGTCAAATAGTACAGGTCAGAAAAATTCTCAAAACTATCCAATCACATTTTTTTCAGGTAATAGAGTAAAGCAAGTAATTAAAAACTAAAATTTCATCATTAAAAAAAATGAAGGAAAACTGAAAAGATCCAGTTCTTTAAAACAATGTAATTCGCTAACTTCAAAGCAATATTTCAACAGCTGAACATGCATTTTAGGTACTTACAGCATGCCCAAGTATTGCATGTGCTATTTCATGGCCCAGCAGGAAGGAAAGCTGATGCATATCAGTTACACTATTTAAAAGCCCCGTGAAAATAAACACTTGTCCATTCTGTATCATAAAGAAAATAAGGTGCGCAATTAGAACACCATAGAAAACCAGGACATTAAATTCAGCAATAAAAATGTGTTTGAGAACATTCACTTACCGGAAGCACAAAAGCATTTACGATATCTGGGGAATCAACCACATGTATAACCCAGTCGATCTCAGCAATTCCTGGGATATCCTTATTGCATTCAACTAGATGACAGACCACTTCTTTAACAGTCAGGTATCGAGGGTCTTTCTCAGTTAGCATGTCATTTTTAAATTCTTCCATCAACTGAAATAAAGCACAGTATTCTTTATTCTTTTTTTTTAAGAGTTTTAACACTATAAAAAGTTTATATGGGTTTTGGGACAGCTATTGGGCTGCTTTATGTTTAATATTTTAGTTTTTAATTATCCAAAAATTTGAATACATTAAACACTCAAATTTCTCAAATTTGAATTACTCATGCAAGGGCAATGTGGTTTCTACAAAGCAATAAATTCTAATACTAAGATTTTTCATGCAAATACGTTGAAATCAGAATTTAATTATTTTAACCTGTCCACATGTAAAATGCTTAAATATTATTTCTACTTCCTTGTAAATTTCAGAAAACAAAACAAGGCCTATGAACAAAGACTTTGCATTAAAAATATCAAGATACATAAGAAAATCACTTTTATAACACAATAAATAGAAAAACACCCTAAACAATGTGAAGTTTAAACTTAGACCTAAAAGACATTTCATTAATTTTAAAGTGTTTTATTCACAGACTGAAAGAAAATTACTGAAATCTCAGAACTAATGGGCATATCATTTTCTCTAAACAATTCTGTTATGACTGGCCACAAGCATGTTATATACAAAGACACTTTTTGTGAAGCTGTACTCATGAGAAATCCTTTCAAAGTGATGGAGAGAATTAAAGGTATTCTGAAAATATTACCTTAATGTTCTATAAAGTGTGTAATTTCTTTTTGTTTGTTTTTTTTCATTTTGCACAGGGAATCAAACTGAGGACCTTATACTTGCCAGATAGGCACTGTGTGGCTGAGCTATATCCCTAGCTGAATAATTTCTTGTATATATGAATCAACAAGTTGGTAACTTCTTTTTGAGATGCCATAAAAATATGTAACTTTGCAGAACAGGAATTTAAAATACTACTTACATCAACCAGCATTTTAAAGCATTATTCAGCAACGTAAACTAAAACAAAAAACTCATTGGTTATTGACCTTTCTGAGTAGTTAAGATTATGTATAACCATAGTTCTTTACTCTGTAATACATTTGAATTTTCATATTAACCAGGTATTACATTTGGAGATTAAATACTAAAGTATGTATGTCTTATTTCTATATATATATATATTTTTAATTCTTAGTAATTTGAAAGGAAATGCATTAATTTAAAGTTTGTCTCAATCTTTCCAGAGCACTTTCCTTAAACTCGCCATCTATTAGATGAAATTCTAGAAAACATCTCAAATCTCTCTATAGATTCTCTATAGACTAAAAGATTAGTCTTAGCTTAAGAACAATTTTATAGTGAAAAGCCAGTACCATTTCTCCTTTTAATGGTAATTTTCCTTTGATAAACTCTAAAGCTCACTTGGAATAAAAAGAAAGAAATCTAACCCTGTTGAAGCTGTCAAATGAAACTTACAAGTGAAAACTGAGTAAAAAAACCTGAGCACACACTAGGAATGTGCTGCACACTAGAGACAGAAGACAGTCTCCATTCTCAAGGAATTTACCAGCATTTAAAGTACATCCCTGAGCTACTATACTTTCCAAGGAATTATGATTTCTAAATTCCAACTTTATGTTGTATTCAGAAAATACAATAAATTGCCCAGGTAAATAGTAACCTTCAGATAAGTACTTTGAAGGGAAAGCACAGTAAACAGCAAAAAGGAGACCTAACCCCACTAGTGCCAAGCATGCAGCCATCTACCAATGAGCTAGCTCACAGTTCACTATCAACAGCGGACACTTTCTCATGCGATGCTACTGTGAATCAAGGAAGCGTCCCTGTGTCGGTGACAGTGAACCTGACGTGGGGGCAGGAGTCAACAGGGCAAACGGGAGGAAAGCGGTAAGACAGCAGGAATAGGAAGTGTCAAAGATCTGAGGCCCTCTAGAAAAAAATACTAATTTCGTATCAACATCTAAAATTTAAAAGTAGTACAATCTTTCCCATTGAAGAAACTTTTTTACTTTAAGTGTTTACTTAAGAAATCCAACAATTCTTACTACTTACTGCTTTATACTCCAGCTCTGAGAGAAGTCTGAAATGCTCTTTCCCCAGCAATAGGAGCTTGTTCCTTCCTGTGATTGGGCTCACTTCCAAGTGAGTAAAATAAAACACTACAAACAACAGTCCACAGGTACTCAAACCAAAGAACAGCTTCCATTTATTCCTCCTCACGTTCTCTCTAAATAGCTCCTTTTTGTTAGGAGGAAGTGCCTGCCACCATTTCCTTATGCCCCTAGAGCAAAAGACAGAAATGCAAAGTACCAGTAAGGATAGGCCCATGTATCAGTGAAATGCAAATGCACACCCTAGTTTTACAGCATCACTCACTGACTTTAAATCTCTATGATACATGTCTCCTGTGGAGATGACTTTTTAACCTACAAAATTCTTTGCCAAATGGTGAAAGAGAATCAACTATATAGAACTACAGTTAAAATTTCTAAAGCTCATGAATTTCTTCTTTACCTATTTTAAGGACAAACACTAAATGAGTAGTTATTTTACAACTACCACTAATTAACATTTATTATTAACCACATGCAAAAGACTATTCTCATTATACACAGGTCATATCATTTAATCTTCTAAAAACTGAGTTATAGAAAATGAGACACAGAGAATTAAACACCTTGTCCAGGGTCGCAGAGACAACGAAGACGACATAAATGAAGAGGCGACCTTGCTGGGTCTGACCCTGTAACCATGTAATAGGGAGAAGTACTCCATAAACAGCTGAGGGTCACAGCACAATAGAGCTATACCTTTCTTTTCTTCCCAAGGTTCTAGTACTTTCGGCCCAAGCTGCCAGCGCTTCAGAAAGGTACAAGGGAAACTATCTCAGCACTAATGTTGGAAATAAATGTTTCTCAGAAGCAGAAACTCCACTGTTTCTAGAACATGAGAAAGGAGAGGTGATATGATGAGCTGCACTGTAAATAAGGAAATGGGGGATTCTACAGAGAATTTCTGAAAAGATTCAGTCTCTACCAAGTACTCTACTGCTCAGCACAGTTCAGAAACATTTTGGCAGCAAGCAGTGTTTTCAATAATAGGACAAAAATTCTTCTATTAGTAAAAATCATAATAAAAATTTCATATATATATAAAATTCACTTGACAAAAATTCACTTTAAGAACAACTTCTTCAAGTGATCACGTTCTGCTAACTGACTGCTACAGTCTGGAAATGTCTCCCTAAGGCCATTTATCAAAGCCTGACTGTCAGCCTAAGGCATAACTGAAGGTGGTGGGACCCTTCGAAGATGGGGCCTACTGGAAGGAAATTGGGCCATAGAAGATGAGCCCTTGAGGAAACACCAAGACCCTAGCCCTTCCTGTTCCTTCTTACCTCCGGTCACTATGAGAGGAGAAGGCCTCTGCTGTGTGCCCCCACCCTGCCATGGTGTACTATGCCTCCCCAGATCCAAAGCACCAGGGCCAGCAATCATCCATGAAATCATGAGTCAAAATAAACCTTTCCTCCTCCTCCTCCTCCTCCTAAGGTCACTTCCTCAGTGACTTATATGAAATGCCTCTGATCAGTGTTTGAACCAAAAGAGATATAAAGCAAATTGTGAAGCATATTTATTTCCTATTTAAAACTATAAGTAACATCATTGATTATTTACAATGCATCCAGAACACATTGTAAAAGAAAATTTACAAAAAGGTGGCCTATGGCTTCAACAATAACAAAATTAAAAAGGAAGAATTTTAAATGATAAAAATACACTAGACATCAGAAAGCTATGTCATAAATTTCTTTGCTAATAAACATATTTGGTGTTAAAAAAATTAAAAAGTATAAATTTTTAAAAATCGAACTCAAAAAAAAAAAAAAAAAAAAAAATCAGAAAGCTATCATCCCAAGAAATGAACATAGCAAAGTTACAGAGGAGACAGTCTGGATTTTTGATTAAACGTAAAATGGGTTATTAGTAAAATGGGTATACTAGTAAGTTAGTAAAATGGCTCTATAGTTGTCCAACTTAAATCTCTATGAAGAGATGCTGGGTGTAGTGAAGCCATAATAATTCCAGCACTCAAAAGGCTGAAGCAGGAAGACCATCACAACTTTGAGGCCACCATGACCTACACAGTGCGTTCAAGAACATCCTGTACTATAGAGTGAGACCCAGTGTCAAAAAATTTTTTAAAAATTTTTATGAAGAGATAGCTTTCTTCAATCTTCACAAAATGAAAAACAGTTAAGAAAAAAAAGCAATACCTTTGTTTCAAAAAAAAAATCTACCAAGATAAAAACTATTTCTGGAAACAGAATAGAAAAAATGAGTATTAGTGCTTGGCTAGGCATGAGCTCCTACATAAGTAAAATTTTAGGGTTTACTGCCTGAAATACTACAAAGTAAACAGGTAATGTTTACAAGTACTATTCCTATACATGAGTTATTACAAATACTTCTGATTCTTCTTACAATTTTTTAAAAATGTCTAGATCAATATGCAATAACTTTTAAGATCACATTTCTAAACAATAAATTAACATGAAAAAAATTACTTCAAGATCATTAAATGTTACATAAAGTTGGGTGAAACCTACTGTTTAGAAACTTGATTTTAAGCTAAATATGAAGAAAACATGGCTTCTCTAAAAGTGCACATTTATAAGCACTAACATTTAATTTTTAACAATTAGTACAAGTTGATATAAAATGTGGATACAAAATTTAATAAAAGTCAATACAAATAAAAATACTTTTTAAAAAGGTATTTTACCTGCCCACAATGATTGCAAATAGTTTCTGCAATGGCTTCAGAAGGACCAACAGGAGAGGAACAGGAGCAGCTTGAACCCGTGAAGAAGTGTGGAAATTCCTGGCAGATCTTACAGAACAGGTCAGAGGACACCAAGCTTTAAAAGCAGGAACAACTGTACCTTCTTTGGTCAGCAGCCATCCTGGCAAAGAGTCATTCCACAAGGTACATTTGTGGGTAACCACCCGAATGTCCTTCCATCGGTCACTTGAGAGGAACCTTGGTCTTCTGTTAAAATGAAAGTTTCCAGGAAGAAATGTGAGCCTTTCACACTGATGGAATAAAGTAAGCCCCTGATACTTGTTTGCTAGATGGAGACTTTGTGACTGATGACAGCATGAGGAAGTTACTGCCCATGAGTTCCACTTTCTCCAGCTGTCCAGTGGATTAAACCGGAAGATAGAAGAATTTCTGGTAGGAGACCGCAATCCATAAATGAAGTTCATGTTTCTTTTGCCTGATTATCTGGAACACAAAACATAAAACATAAATATCTGTGGAAAATATTTATTCACCAAACTAGGAACATAATACTTATGAAGAAGATATCACACTTTAATACCTTGGCTTTCTATAGTAAGGCCTCTCAGCAATACAAACCACAATAGTGCGTATGACGTTATTCTACTGCACAAAACATCCAAGGACACTTGAACTTTTTCACTTCATTTTTAATTTTTAGTAGGAAGGAGTCTATTTTAACAGCAAATTATTTGAAAAATAAAAAATAAATTGGATAAACACTAAAATCTTATCAGCAGTAATAGGGAAAACTATGTAACAAGAGCATAAAATTAACCTATAAAAGCTATTTTTTAAAGAACGATTTCTTTCTTTTAAAAAAATCCTAGGACTTCTGACAGGGGACAAGATAGAAGAAGAGGAACTAGATTTACCTTCCTACCTAAAACAACTAGAAAACTAGAGCTTATAAAATAGTTGTTTCAACACACTGGACAATAGGCAATGATGGACTAAGAAATGGGAAACAAACAAGATGAAACCAAAGTGGAACGCATTGGCCTCCAAAACTGAAGAGATGAGGCTGGGAACCCCTAGACACCCATAAAGCTAGTATACAGGGCAGAAGACAGAGGTGCACAGAGTCAAAATTATAATTTCAAGTCAGGGATTGTGGGGTTTCCTGCCTTGCCTTTGTTGTCCAGGATTGCCTTTGCTAGTCTAGGTCTCTTCTGTTTCCAAATGAATTTTAGGATGTTTTCTATAGATCTGTGAGGTATGCTAATGGTATCTTAATTGGGAGTATATTAAATCTGTGTAACAGTTTTGGCAATATGGCCATTTTCACAACGCTGGTTCTTTCTATGCATGAGCGAGGGATATCTTTCCATTTTCTGATATCCTCTTCAATCTCCTTTTTCAGAGTACTGTGATTTTCAATATATAGGTCTTCTACATTCTTCCTTAGATTGATTCCTAAGTATAGCTACTGTGATAAAATCAGTATGGTACTGACAAAAAAAAAAAAAAAAAATCAGTGGAACAGATTAGAAGACATGGACACAACTTAGCCACCATAAGGTGGCCCCTTTGACAAAGGGGCCAAACATGTTGACTGGAAGAAAGACAGTCTCTTTAGTAAATGGTGCTAACTTGTTCTCCACATGCCAAAGACTAAAAGTAGACCCATGTCTATCACTATGCACAAAACTAGAGTCAAAATGGATCAAAAACCTAAACATTAAAACAGAAATATGTCAAAGACTAAAACTAGACCCATTTCTATCACTATGCACTACGCATTAAACTACAGTCAAAATGGATCAAAGATCTAAATATTAAAACAGAAATACTAAATCTCCTGGATGGCAAGATAAGGAAAAATCTTGAACACATTGGGATAGGCAGAGAGTTTATGAAAAAAACTCAAATTGCATGCAAAGTATTTCAAAGGATCAACAACTGGGATCTCATCTATAAAAGTTTACACATCAAAAAAAAAAATCAACAACAAGATGAAAAGACAACTCACAAAGCAGGAAATCATTTTTACCCAGTTGTTGCTCAGACAAAGGAATTCTACCTAGAATATAAAGAACTGAAAAAAATCAGACCCCCCCCTCAATTCAACAATTGGCAACTGAGATGAATACATACTTCTCAGATGAAGAAACACAAATGGCAAACAAGCATATGAAAAAATGTTCAACATCATTGGTCATTCAAGAAATGCAAATTGAAACAACACTAAGATTCATCTCACTCCAGAAAGAATGGCTGCCATCAAGACATCAACCAATAACAAATGCTGCAGGAACTGTAGGGAAAGAGGGATGCTTCTCCACTGTTGATAGGAATGTAGACTGGTGCAACCAATGTGTAAATCAGAGTGGAGATTTAAATCAATGTGGAGAACTTCAGAATGGATTTTTTAAAATGTAGTATTTTTATACAATGGAGTAACACTCAGGTATAAAGAAGGACAACTCAAGGCATTTATAGGTAAATGGATGCAACTTGAGACCATACTCTTAACTGAAATAAATCATACTTGCACATGTAAACACTGTATTGTCTTCCCAGTGTAAAAAACTAAAATGAGTACATAAGATCCAAAATGTACAAAAGACAGAATGAGAGTGAGTGGGGAGGAGGATGCTCAGAAGGGAAGGATAACCAGGGTGGTGGAAAGGAGAAAAGAAAGAAAGGGGAAAAGAAAAAAAAAATATATATGTGTGTGTATATATATATATGACACACAATCATACTACTCATCTGTTGGTTCATCAAAAAGAATGGTTTGTGCTTTCATTATTTAATTATTTTTTCATGCCTACGTCTTGTAATCTGACAACTACTTTAAATATAACAATATGCAATATAGTAACCATTGTTAATCTATTACTTTGTTTTCATCTGTCATAGTTTTTATTTTTTCGCTTGAAAAATTAAAAAAAAAAAAAAAACCTGTAGAGGTCTGCAGCAAAGTCCCCATTCCAGACTCAGTAAAGTAGAGGCTGAGTCCCACCAGGGTATACATATGTGAGAAAACTCCCAGTGCTTGGAAACAACCACCCAGCAATTAAAGGTACAATCACAGGGCTCACAGATGGCAAGGCACAGTGCCTATTCTCACTAAAGCAGAAACACATAATTCCCAGGTACTGGACAGAGTACTCAGAAAGGGTTCGCCTCAGTGTTAATGAAAAATCAGTCCCACACTGAAATATTTTGACCTGAACTCCAAAGATTAAAAGCAATTCCCAAAAGAGATCCAATTGCTTATGAGTTATAACCATATCCTAGAAGGCAAAAAAAAAAAAAAACCTAAAGAACAATTATTTTTTAAAAACTGAACTTACCAAACATTTAACAAGATGTAATTTACAATTAAAAATTACCAGGCAAGCAAGCAGCAGGAAATGTGACTCATAATTAGGAGAAACATCATCCTGGAAACTAATTCCTAATGCAAATGATAGCATTAGTAAAAAAGGATATTCAAGTAATTATATTCCACATGTTTAAGAAGCTTAAGCAACCTACATGTTCATCAAGATAAGTGGGTAAAGAAAATGTGACACAGTATTCATACAGTATGGAGTACTAGTTCACCATAAAAAGGATAAACTTGAGTTATTTGTAAGAAAATGGATACAAGCTGAGATCACAATGTTAAGTGAAATAAATCAAGATGCATAAACTTAATTATCACACTGTTTCCCTTCTATGAGAAACCCAAAATACTAAGAACAGAATAAAAGATACTAGGAAATAGGTAGATCTCTTACAAATGGGAAGGTGATCAAGAGGTGAAGGGAATTAAAGGGAAGAGGATAAAAAAGAATTGTGTTGTATACATGTACCAACAGCCTATGAGGAATGCCATCATTATATACCAATAAAAACACCTAAAATTAAAAAAGAATGCAAAGTGAAACACAGAAAATCTGAAACACTAAATCCACTGGAAGACCAAGCAGGAAGAAATCTTGAAGACATAAATGTAGGCAGAGTTCATGAACAAAAGCCAAATTGTAGGGGAAATACTTCAAAGAATCAACACTGGGATCTCATCTTATTGAAAAGCACTTGCACACCAAAAGAAATCCCCAGCAAAATGAAAAGACACCCACAGAATGGGAAAAATTTTAGCCAACTGTCCCTTAGACAAAGGAATTCTATCTAGAACATATAAAGATTGAAAAAAAAAATCAGACTCCCCAAATTCAAAGACCTAGTCCAAAAATGGGCAAGTAAGATGAATACAGTTTTCAGGTGAAGAAATACAAATGGCAAATAAATATCTAGAGAAATGTTCAGCATCATTGGTCAGCAGAGAAAGGCAAATTAAAACAATATTGAGAGTCCAGAAAGAATGTCTACCATCAAGAAATCAACCAATAACTGTTGGAAGGACTATGAGGAAAAAAAATCAACCCTTCTCCACTGTTGGTAGGAGTGTGTTGGAGACAACTACAAAGCTGATTGGCTTTTTATGTTTATCCGTGAGTCGGTCCTAGGCCTAGGCCCCTTGCCTGGCGACGGGAGCTGATTCATAGTAAGTGAACCTCTACGAATCACTGATCCTGGCTGAGGCCTGTAGTGGCCTGTGAGGCCAGAGATACCTCAAAGGGCAATACAAGGCCAAGCTGTGGACACTCTGGCTCCAACCCCAATTAACAAGGTAGAGACTGCAGCTGCAAAGATTACTCCTACAGTGTCACTTCTACCATGTCCTCTTGATAAGACAGTGCTACTGAACTGACTTGATTCATGACTTGGAGACGTCCTTGAAGTGACTCCCAAGGTCCTGCTCACTGCCTGCACTTCCCTCAGCTTCTCCGCCTTTTGTCCTTGGTCCTAATATAAGTGGACTGACCCAGAGACTCCTTTGTCTTTACCCTCGAAGCTTCGAGCTTAATTAAAGGGTTTTGACCCTCCTAGAACCCTACAAATCATACAATTTCTCACTTTTTATTTAACCTCCACTGTACATTCACTTGGGAGATCGGGGATCTAGGACAGAACTCGATAGGTATTTTCCCACAAGGACTGCAAACATCGTGCCACAGCAATGGATGTGCACCCATGTTTACAGCAGCACAATTTATAATAGCTAAATCTTGCCAACAACTCAAATGTCCCTTAATCAAGGAAAGGATAAAAAAGATTTAGTATTTTTACACAATGGAGTACTACTCAGTCATAAAGAAAGATGAAGTTATATTGGTAAATGGATGCAACTTGAGACCATACTTGTAAGTGAAAGACATCAGACTCATATGTGTAAACATCGTGCTGTCTCCCTGCTGTGAGAAACTGAAAGACTAAATAAGGCCTAAAATGCACAATAGGTATTATGAAATGGAAAAAATTGTTCAAAAGGAAAAAGGAACTAGGATGAGTGAAAGGAGAAAGGACAGAAAGGAAAAAGGGAAGAAATGCAAGTCGGTTATACTATTAGTGCCTCTTAGTTCATTAAAAAGATTCATGCTGATATCGATCAGAGAAATTTTATGCCCATATCTTCTACTCTAAGCAACTACTTTAAAGATAACATGCAAATAATATTAACTATTGTTAGTCTATTATTTCGTTATGAAATTTTGTTTTAGCTTTTTTCCATAAAATAAATGAATAAATAAAAAAGTCTGAGCATGTTTTGTAAAGACATGCAATAGATTTCTTTAAAAGGTCCAGTAATTAACTGCTACATAAGAAAACTACAATGTCTAAGATGAAAAATACACCGAGTGAAACTTACAGCAGATCAGACATTGCAGGAATAAAGACTGTGAACCTGAAGACATAGCAGAGAAAACAAAAATGCACAGAACATCAACGAGTGATCTAATATTCTTGCCGGCAGAATCTTCAAAAATGGAGAAGAGACAGCCAGAAAAAAATTCTCATGTAACAGCCAAAAAATTGCCCAAAATTGATGAGTAATATCTCATTCCTGTAATACTTAAAGTATATACGCATGATGAACCAAATTGTATTACACACACACAAAACACAGAGCCTATACTACAAATATTAACAGTAACTGTATCTAATGGTTATAAACATGTTCCTTCAATTTATTTTCACTGTTCCTCAATGTTTTTAAATCTTTATAATACAAGTGAGGACACACACAAAACTAATTCAACCTTGACTAATAAAGTATTACTAAAAAGATGTTTCAATCCTGCAATTTTAATAGGATTCTCTAAATTAAAAATCAGAAAATTTTTTGAATTTATTTTTATGTAGTTTATACATTCTGCCCTTGTAGAGATCATGTGATGCAAAAATTAACTCTAACATAATCCTTTTCAAGTTATTACCAATTTTAAATCAGTAGAGTTCAGGCTGATCTATAATACTTTGACACTACTAACAAGATGGCTGCTAATTTTTTGTCCTTTTTGAATCAACCAAAATGAAAAATGGTAAAATAATTTAAGCTTTAAAGTCATTTCAAAACTAGCTGTCATGGTCCAGGGATATAGCTCAGTGGCAGAAGTGGCTGCCTGGCAAGCACAATGTCCTAAATTCAATTCTAGGTACCAAAAAAAAGAAAAACAAAACAAAAAACTAGCTGTTACTATTGCGTAACAATGGAAACAGCCTGAGAAACCCATCATTACAGGCTTGCATCACTGTGCACGGAGTACTCGTATACAAATATAGAGGGCTCAGGGCAATCACTCAGTGTGGTCTCTTGAAGAGAGGTGGACACTGCTACTAGCCTAACAGCGTTCTGTTTTATAGTACACTTATTTTAATACATAGAAAGAGTACACTCTAATAAAAAGTACACTAAAAAAGGAAACCTGTAACCTAGGTTTATTGTCACTATCACCACAACGTACAATGCATTGTGCTAGGACATCACAACAGATACCATGTCACTAGATGACAGGACTCCTCCAGTTCCATTCTAATTTTACTAGATCACCCTGAAGTTTTTAAGTAGCTAGCAAAGTTCTTCTTTGACTAGATGGCATGGAAATTATACAAGCCACATAAAACACAGTCCTTATGATCACAGAGTATCTAGTTGAGGAGGCAAAAATGAACATAGGACTAGGGGGAAAATAAAATACAGTTCCTCACCAAGTGCTATGTAACATATGAATAAAAAGAGAAAAGGATGTCAATATAGCAGATTAGATAAGGAATGCAACTATTTTACACCATTTAGGTAGATACAGGAAAAAATTAATTTTTTCAAATGGGAAAGTGTATTTTAGCTTTTCTACTAGAAATCAAATTGCAATAACTACACAAACCTGTTTTCTTTCTTTTACTTCAAATCAGAAGACATATAATGGAAGATAATTTTTAGATACTTATGCAATCACAGCCTCAATTTAGATGTGCCCGAAGCTTCATCTTTGTTTCCAAGGACTCCTGCCCCTCACCACAGACCTAGGAATCAGTAGTTGACAAAGAAAAAATTTTATGTAAGACAATATTTAATATTTAATTAGTGCTTATTACATGCCAGACAATGTCCAATTTTTAAAAATAGTAATGACACAACATGCTAATGTGTACGAAAATACATACATGGTAAGATAAAAAAGCTTTTTGTAATGATTATTTGGGGTAGTAGGAAGTTACAAGGGATTTAGTATTTCTGTGTTTACTTTTTACAAGGTGTATTACTTTTGTTAACCTCAAATAAGTAACTATTTTTATAATTTCCACTCACTTTTTATTCAATACACCCCCTAAATGCTATACCCACTACTTCTTAGGCAATACTCCCAAGGCTCCTTCACCCACTTCTAAGTGCCAGGACCTCCGTCCACAGGCATTCCTTCAGAAAAGCAAGCTTTCACAGCTATACTTAGGCACATCTATTCTCACATTCATTATGCATATTGCTTAGCTCTGCTCCTACAACAAGCAAGCTGCTGCTCATCTTTCATGATTATGAAAACTTTAAAAGCCCCACTGTCTGTATATAATTTAAATCATTTATTTCACCAACAATCAAGTGTCACTTAAAACAGAAATGCTACTTGACATTTTGTAAGCCCTCGTTTATCCTCAAGATACGGTAAACAATGGGAGAAGTCTTTCTGTATTTTCAAAGAATGAATCACTAGACTACACAGCACTAAGAAGGTATCAGGGCTCACACACCTTCTCAGACTTGTAGCAGGTCAACAGACATTGCCGGCAGACTTAAGAGCATTACTAAATGAATGTGAGAAAATTAAACAGTTTGGCTTGTTAGCCTCTAAGAACATTCCAGATCCCCAAAGTATTATCTCAGAATGAGCACGTACAGCACTCAAGCTGAAGCCTAGAAGGCAGTTTTAACAACTTTTGTTGAAAATGACGATTCTTTGTCTAGTTTCTATGGGAACAACTGTCAACTGACAAAAATAGGGCATGTGACTTAAAATAATCATTCAAGCAAAGTACACACACGATGGAAGGCTTAAAAAAACGTGTAAGCCAGCAGCCTCGGCCCTTCAGCTTCCAAATGCAGCCGGCACCTCCAGACCTGGGAGTGCTGCGGCGCACTCCGGCGGTCGAGGGCGCCAAGCCCGCGCGGCCTGACCCTCCCGCGGCGCCCTGCAGGCACCGGAAACCGCCGCTCCAGTTACACAGAGGGGGTTTCCCTAAGTGTTTTCCGTGGGCAACTTTGCAGAGATTATTAAATTGCTGAACTGTTTAGACAGCAAACACTGCTTTTCACTGCCGACGTCTGGCAGGGGAAGTTGCGCCTCTGTACGAACGCCGAGGCAGGACGTGCCCGGCCCAAGTGGGATGAGGGGCGACAGGAGTCCCGCCCGGCCCGCCGCCCCTCCTCGCCGGGGCCACCCCACGCCGCCCGCCGCCCCTGCCCAACCCTCGGCCCCCCTCAGCCCGCCAGACTCCCAGAAGGAGCGCCAAGCCGTCACCGCGAGGACTGACCGCCTAGCAGCGGCCGCGAAGGACTCCAGGGACGCAGCTCTGCGCAGGCGCGCGCTCGCCCCCAAGGCCCCGCCCCACTTCCTGCCCTGGTTGGCCGCGCGCCTTTGCCCCGCCCACCGCGGCCTGTGGGTCCTGGGCAGGGCTGTTTCCCGGGTGTCGCGCACGCCACGCACCGGCTCCCCGTGCGGCCGTCGGGGGATGTGCCCTGTCCAGTCCTACTCCGCCGAGTGTGGTCTGCTAAAGGAGACCCGGGCACGGTGGTTCCCGCCGCGCCTCCCGAGGCAGTGCCCACAAAAGTGCCGCCGAGGCCGCGCGGGTGGCAGTGGTCTGCAGGGTGCGGGCGCTCGGCCTCGCGGCTCCACACAGTGTAACGAGGATGCGGTGGGAGCGAGTAGGGCGTAGGCTGCGCCCGCAGGGCCTACCCGGCAGGAGCCGAGGCCCGAGACGAGGGGCGACGCTCTGCGGCCGAATCGGGCCGGGCTGCGGGGCTCCGCCGGCCCCCCCCCCCCCCGCGCTGGCACCTTTGCCTTTCTCGAGGCGGTCCCGAAGGCTAGGCGTGGCCGCTTGGGAGGCGGAATCGCCGTTTCGTTGTCCATCCCAACAAACATTGGCTGGGCATCGCTTGCTCTGCCTGAACGTCCCTTGCCTTCTCGTCCTCCGTAGCGTTCTGTCCTCATAAAATGAACAGATCTGCATTACTGTATTTAGTTAGTTCCTTGAGATCATGCCAAGGTGCAGGGCTACTTTTATAAATTACCACTTACATTATCACACCAGCTTCCAAGCTGGCATCACTGCCTCCTGCCTCATTCTGCTTGTCCAGACGGCAGCCACCAGGACCCAGGTCCTGAACTGGATGCAACCTGCTTGAGCAGGCTCCAGGGGAGGCCAAGCTTGGAAATGCCCTTGTGCTGCCCCAGGGCTTACCTTCCCTGAGATTCCAGTTGAGCACCTTTTTAACATTGCCAGTCACTTTTTTTTTTTAATTGCAGAAATAAAATAATACTACCACAGAAAACCAAAAGAAACTTGCTTCTATGTCGTGGTGCTCACATTTTAAAATGTGCCTGTCTTCCAATATTTAAAATTCTTAAAATACTACTAAAACAAAATGTTTTTGTTGAGGGAAGGCACATTGAAGTGACAAAATGAAGTGACAACATTTTGTCACTTCAATGCGTATTCCCTCAGTTCCTAACAAGGTAAACATTTTTTCATGCCTATATGATGTTTGAGTTTAGCAAATGTCTCTCCCAGCCTTTAACTCATTTTTCTATAAAATACTCATTTTTGTTTCATTAGCTTGTAAAAAGTTTCCCCTAAGAATTGTGTTGTTTATGTAGCATTTTTCCCACATAGTTTGCCTTTTTAATTTTGTCAATTCATTTATACATAAATTACACACATATACCTAATTTTAACATGTTTATTTAGGTAAATCCATTTTTTCATTGTGGTTTCTGCCTTATATGACCTTTATAGTACATCTGAATACCAGGATTAAATATTTGCAAATATTTTTTCTAGAGCTTTAAAAACTTTGTTTCTTAAATCTTTCAAAATGTTTAATCTACTGTGAATCGATTTCAGAATAAGTTGGGAAAGAAAAATACTACCTAAAAGAATGATTAGGCTAGTAGGTTTTGCTTTGTCCTGTCCCCAGTCCAATGTTTATTGAGAGATAAGGTTGGAAGATGGAATGGAGAATACACTCCTCTCCATCGTTTTTAGCAAGAGAATAAAAATGGAGACTGCCTGATTGAAAAACAGGACTGGAGGGAATCAGAGCTGCCATAGTCACAGCAGCACATCTTGGTTGCCATAGGACAGGTGGCAGGTTTGAGACACAGTGAAGAATAAAGCAGGTTCTTTGCTCTCACCTAGTTAGATGAATGTTCAAATTGAGATACAGTGTGGCCCCACGGGAAGCCCAAGGTCAGCATGACCAGCACCCCTCATTGGCTGGTCTGCACATGAACCCATCCACCAGAGGTGGCCACAGTGCCCCCTCCTAGATGGTAGGCCAGTAGGGCTTTTATCTATGTATGCGCCCTCCCCCTGGTAGAGCCCTGGTGATTGCTGTCCCAACATTTAACTGATGATCCAGCCTTTCCTGGCGATTTAAAGGGCCACTTTAGTTACATGCTAAACAGTCATGTTTCTGGACTTTCTTTTTTGTTCCTTGGTCTTTTCTGGCATGAACACATGATTTCAACTACTGTGACTTTGTAATACACATTTTAGAATATTGTCTGGCTCTGGTACATTTTTTTTCTTTTTTAATACATGTCTGTTATACATATTGGTCACATTCATCTTAGGGAATTTGTTCCTATACATAATATATCTTAACTCTATTTTTTTCCGGATTCCTCTCCTTTCAATCATTCTTTCCTAATTCAGCAGATTTGAGTATTTTCCTTTTTTTTTTAATAAGGTTGGCTAATGATTTATCTATTTTATTTAATCTTTCAAAGAACCAGCTCTTCAGTTTGTTGATTCTATGTATTATTTTCTTAGTGTCAATTGCATTAACTTAAACTCTGAACTTATAATTTCCTCCTTTGTATGCACTTTGGGTTTAACTTGTTTTTCTTTTACTAGAAACTAATCTAGTCTAGATTCACTGATCATTTTGTTCATTATAATCATTATGTCATTAATTATCTCGGTTTTGTTTTGGTTAAGACACTTGACCTGTTTTGTTAATTCTACTGCCACTATTTGTAGTATTCAGCTGGTGGGTTTTTTATTTCTTCCACCTCAATTGCCCCTTGATTTGTCTTCAATTGGGTATTATTGATTACATCTTGCTTCCGTGTTTTCTTATTTTCTATTTGTTCATTTTGTATGTTGATGCTTATAAACTGCTTATGATAGGTAGGTTTATTACTAGTATGGAGACTTCTTTAGGAAATGACTACTTTTCAGAGATATCTTCTAGCATAGCTGCCTTTTGGCTTTTGAGTCTGTCCCAAGATCCTACCTCTTCATTCTATTAGGGACATCTATTGGGCCTAACACTGCCTGTTTGGCCTAACATCCAGTTCTTTGGTACTGGACTATAGTGTTTTTTGATGCCCCCAACCCTGAAAATCTAGGTATTGGGATATAAGAAGATCAATTGATCACAACTGTATCAGCTTGGCTAAAATAGTACTATCAATAGTAACAATAGCATCAAGCATAGAGTAGAAAATGACAAACTGGTAACTAATAATTTGCCACTTTTAACCACAGGTACAAGTTTTATAGTCGTATGACAAAACCTAAGACAAATTAGAAAATTTTGTAAGTAAATATCCACTCAATAGATGAATTTTGTCCTAAGGAGAGAAAATGTTAAAAGGATAAGAAGAAAAAATAGAGAAGTAGAAGAAGAAAAAGAAATTCAAAGGGAAGCTGAAAGACAAGGGATGACTCCCCGAGCCTTGAGAGGCTGGAGAGGAAAGCAGGAGGGAAAAATGGAAAAAGGCAACAGAGAACAGACAAAACTAAGCCAAAAACAGCGTTCACACTTATGAAAAAATGAAAATAAATGAACAACAAAAAGTAAAGAAGAAAATATAAATTTTTTATTTTAAAGAGAGTAAAACAAAACAGAACCAAGCAGATCAGAAGAAACCAATGTAAGTGACAGATTTCAAAGCAAGACAACAGGAAATCTACAGTGGCTTCCATAATATCTCTAGTTTTCTTCTAAATAGTTGTCTATATCTTCACACACAATAGATTCATACAACACAAAAAAGTATAAAATTGATCAGAAGAGAGTAATGAAGGCATTCAAAACCAGACAATAAGAAAATCAACAATGACTACCGTAATGTCTCTTTTTCTCTTCAAAATAGCTGTCCGTGCCTTCATGCATGTTGAAATTAAATAATACAAAACATATTAAGCCACTCTAAACAGAGAATAAAAGCATTAATGGATTTCACAGCATGGCAATACAGAATCAGCAATGGATACCATAATTCCGTTTTTCTTCAAAGTAGCTCTTCGTTTCATCACACATAATATAATCGATTGTCATGTACCGTTTAGGAAAAGTCCTAGGCATGTATAAGCCTCTACATGTATACCTATTGTTTCTGTATTAGAAAAGCAAAGTAAAGCAGGTTACTAGAAAAACAAGAAACAAAAAAGGAAAATAAATAACAATGGCAAAAAGCCCCAGGAACAGAACTAAGGTTGATACTTTACATAGTGATTTTCAGGAGTTCCTCAGGTCACCTGATACAAACATACAAAATTGTTCCAATCCTATGAATATTAACTGTTTTGTTCCAAGAACATACAGAATTTGTTGCACAATCATCTTATCTATCCTAAGTGTGTTTATACAAATTTAGATATTTTTTAATTTTTCCTTCCTTTTTCTTTTTCCTGCTTTTCCCGGAGAAATTACTTTTCCCGTTTGAGGAGATTCTTACCCTTTTACTGTATTTATTGAGGATTTTGTATCTTCTGTACACTTACCATTTCTTACACTAGGGAGATAATATGGTATTTACACATGTAAGTTTGATTTATATCACTTATGAGTATAGTCTCAAGTTGTATCCATTTACTTACAAATGTCTCAATGTGATCATTCTTTATAGCTGAGTAGTATTTCATTGTACAAAACTACCACGTCGTTTTTATCCATTCCTCAGTTGATGGGCATTTAGGTTGTTTCCAATCCAGCTATTACAAATTGAGCTGCTATAAACATGGGTGCACATATATCACTGTGGTATAATGTTTTCA